TTATATTGCACTGGACTAACGGTGCTTTGGGATTATTTTGGTCTATGCCAGAGTCCTTCTGCATTCTTCCAATGAGACCATGCATCACTTCACTGAACGTGCCGTCCCCACCAACACAAACAACACTGCCAGGAAACACAAATTAGAATGCACACTAACAGTCAATAAACAACACGGCAAGTGTTCTACTTAGGGCATGCACTAGGCACATCAAAAATAGTTGTTCTATTCTCCTCCTCCATTTTTACAGAATACAGTAGCCCACAGTCAATTTGGCAATTAACAAAAAAGCAGGAAAAAAAAATTTCAAGCTATGCAACTGCAAAAGCACCTAGACATGTCTGTAATGTTAGAAAAAAATGTTGGACTGCAACCTAAAAAAAAAACCCAAAAAAACTTTATCTTGTATTGCTGTGTGCAATACAGACAGACAAGTATCAGTGGAAATTCACTATACAAGGAAAACACTGAACAGGACTGTACATACAGCTTTCTAAGTAAACAAAATGGAAATAGGGTACCTTTACTAAAAAGGGAAAAGTAAGTTAATATTTGTAGCTTCAGGCAGAAGTATATTTTACACTATTAATTTAATAGGGATATACATTATATGAAAATCAAAAAAACAGAAAAGTGCATGCTTGCATGCTCTTTTGAACATGCTGAGAGCCCAAACAGACAGAAGTCATGTATATCTACATAACCATTCATAATGAAACACAGAGTTCTAAATGTTACCAGATGCAAAACTTTGTTTTGCAAACTTAATTCAGGTCAGAGCTGGTGCAGCAGCTACACAGATCCTCAATATGTTAAAGCTCAGCAGAGAGTCCACAGCCAAGCAAATACTAGGAAGTAAAAGACTATTTTACAGCAGTATACATTTCATGCACAATAATCAAATGCACACCCTGAACTCTAAAAGCATAAATATTCTTTAACTGAAAAACTAATTCAAATACACTGTAAAGGAACACATGACAAATCCAAAGTTATGCATGTAGTCCCCAGCATACATGTTTAGGAATGTTTACTGTCATCTATAGAAATAATTTCCAATGCATAAACTAATACTTACTCTTCCACATAGTCAGCAACAGATATTACAGAATGAGCACTTACTTCATAGGACAAGTTACTTTATTTAGCTTTTAAGTACCGATTATTTAAATTTATTTATTACTGTATTTTCAGCAGAAGGAAAGCTTGAAAAAACCCAGTAATTTTTTCATGAATGGAGAGGACAGTCTTAAAAATATACGCTGTCCAACTCTAAGTGAAGACCTAAGAGACTTGGAGAGAAGGGAGAAAAGGATGTTTGTTTTTCATTTTTATAATTAGTTTCTCTTCTCACAGCTTAACTACATTATTCCTCCTCAACTTTAGCCTGTCTCATCTTTCTCTGCAGACTCCAAGGAAAAGGTTAAGTAGACAAAAATTTCCACGTCAGTTCAAGGTCAATGTTGTCTCAGTAGTGTTCTATTTATAACAAATACTATACCCAGGCTCAGAGATAACAATGATATGAATGTCTATACCTATCAAGGGTAAATATTGATAAAGAAGTTCACATACACAGCACAAGCATGACCAAATTCATTGCAAACATCAAATGACCAATGTGCAAGTCACATGTGTGTGCAAGTCACACGTGTGAAGGCCCCTAGTGAAGAACTACTGTAAGAGAGATCTTGCAGCGATTCTCACATTTCGGGCTTATTTTTCTAATGGACGAGCATTTTACTTTTTAAGACAGATCATAACAGTAAACTACATATGCTAAAGGACTTCAGGAGAAGCAAGTCCACAAGACAAATGAGTTTTAAAAGAACTATGCTCCCTTCTAATCTCAATCATTCTGTGAACCAATTCAGTAACTAGGAAAAAACCCAATCTGAAACAGTTTTACAAAGGCTTGTGCAACAGGTGTATGGATAAGGAAGCACAGTGATTCATGCATGTCAGACTTCCTCTAAGCACGGTTGTTACCTGCACAATATTACAGCATGTTCTAGTTCTGCACAATGATGTACAAAAACCTGCTATATGGTAACTGAATGAATATTTTAAGTGACTGTCTTCAAAGAGAAGCTGTGCTATCACTGAGCTATTAGATTAGTACAGTCACCATAAAACAAACAGGAAACATGCACAAGAGGTTTAAATAAGCTCTCTCAAGTAAATACACTTGGAAGGCAGTGAAGCGGTTTTCATTAAGAATCCTGTATGTAGTTCCAAAATTACAGGCATGGCTTTGCCAAATAGGGAACGTAGAGCTTAAATGAAGAATGAAGGGAAATCACTGAATGAAAAGTCACTTGTAAGAACCACTTTAAGAGGACAGGTAAGCAACAACTAGGTGTAGGAATCTAAAGAAGCTTTTCCTGTATGTGAGAAGAGTCAACCAAACTTCAAGAAATTCATACATTTATGCAGTCCACCCATTTTTAAAATCTTCCATATAGCCATGTGATCTATTATTTAAAAAGTAGTGTTAATAAAAGAACTCCTTCCTAACATCACTGTTCACCACAGAAACAGACTTGTACCTGATGGACAAAAATCAGGCTTAGAAAGACGTGTTGCAGTTCCCAAGCTAACTGACATTAAGGCGCAGCCTGGGAACAGAAGAATCATGAGATTCTAAAAAGATGTAGTTCTTTGGCCAACTGTTTACCTCAGTCATGTTAGAGACAGAAAACCAAAAAACTCCACCAAAACAAGCAAAAAAAAACCCACCAAACAAAACCCAAACAAAATCTTACTGTAAGATTTTGTACAGTAAGAGACTGAATCTGCCCAAAACACTTCAGGTACCACTACAATTGGTCACTGCCACTTGTAAAAGCCAATTTGGTAGGAGGGGACATGGGCTCACTTGCTTCCCTTTTCTGCTCTGTATTGGATTTTCACAACTGTCAGTATTATCTATTTCAAATCACTTAAGTTAAATGAAAAGGAAAAATTTTAACTAGGTTTTTCTAGGATCCCAGTTTCCCTTCCTTGCACTTCTGCAAAATTAAGAAAATCTCACTGTAGTCAAACCTGCTTATTTAAAACAGGTGAAGTCTAGGAATTCAACTTATGAATGTAGTTTCTTACTACCACAATTTGTCAACATCATGCCTTCACTTGGTTTATATAATGCATATAGATCTTCTCCCCTAGCAAAAGTAATCTGAAAAGATAGAAAAAGTTTTATTTTTGCAACTTACCAGTTTAAATGTACTTGTCTACAAGCACAACAAGAGACTTTTAGACTAGTGTAGTTATGAGAGTTTATCTGCAAAGGTTCTGCATACATTGTCATGATTTTCCAGTTGTGTAATTTGTTTCATGTCATGAACCAGAAACTGGAATGACTAGCTTATTTATTAAAATATTCTGCTTCTGCAGCAGATTTAATAATGGAATGCAATTTCACCATTAAGTCTTTTTTTTAAAACATTAATTCCACAACAGAACGAACACAAATAAAGCCAAATGATATAGCCATTATTTGAACAGTCCTACATAGCAAGAGGAACTATCTGAAACATTTCTGAACAGCTCATGGCTTTTACACACAGGCTGAATGCTACTGATGCAGTGTTCTGGACTCATGCCTATGTCAAGATCACCTATACCACAAAACATTTCAGGGTAGCTTTCGAGCTATCACAGAATGCTCAACTTCTGGATGAGCAAAAGTAATCTTTACATCTTTTGAACACAAATCTCATGCAAACATTGTTATATGACACTTGAATATAGTGTGTGTTTAACAGGTTTACTGAAACAGTTTAGTTTTCCTTTGATACTCCTAAGTGCGGATCTCCTATGGAAAGAAATACACCCCAGAACTTTCAGCTGTTGTAATAAACATATCAGCAATGAAGGCTACTATTTTAAGTTACAGACAACAGCAGACAGATTACAGAATACATCAGCTAGAAGGGGGAGGAAGCAAGTGAAGTTACTTACCCATCATATTTATTAATATTAACTTCAAATAAATTGTCCTTAGCGTGGTTAGCATGTTCAGTTACTACAAAGAAATAACCACATTAAACATTACTATTATAAAAATACTATTATAAAATT